TCTTATAAATACCCAATCATGTAACTATAATCTGTGAGCACCTAATAAAAGATAAACCCTAGTTGCAACCCGTGGAGTAGGTTACTGACCGAACCACGTTAAATCTCGTGTTCTTATTTTCTGCTATTTGTGTGTGTGTGTTTGTTCGCTTCCGCTTGACCGCCTCTGATCTCTGATTCCTAACAAGTGGTATCAGAGCCTTGGTTCGGTTAAACACACGGTTACACAGGATCAATCGCAGGAAGAAGGCTGTTCAAGATTGTTTTTGCTGCTGTTTTGCTGCCGCGGTTAAGGGGCTGGTTCGGATCTAATCAGATGCTGGTTTGGATCTGGTCAGGGGCTGTTCGGTCGGTTTTGGGTGAACTTGGCGATTAGGGTTTCTGGTTTTGGACCTGGTACTCGTTGGTTCGGGTTCTTTGATTTAGGGTTTGTTTTCTATTGGAGGTTGCTTGGTTTCGGGCCGTTATTCCTTGGTTTTTTCTCTGGTTTTTTCTCTCGTTTTGCAATGGCCGAGGACGGGAGGGTTCGAATCGAGAAGTTCAACGGTACTGATTTTGCATGGTGGAAAATGCAAATAGAGGCGTTGCTTGGTGAGTGCGATTTGGACATGGTACTGGAAGAGAAACCGGATGGAATGGATAAGGCTGCTGAAGCAATTTGGGACTCAAAGGACAAAGAGGCAAGAGGTAAAATTACACTAGCTTTGACGAGGAGTGTGGCGTTTAATATCATGAAGGAAACAACTGCTCGTGATATGTTAACAGCTCTGTCAAATATGTATGAGAAACCGTCGGCCGGTAATAGAGTGTTCTTGATGAGGAAATTGTTCATGATGAGAATGAACGAGGGCAGCCCAGTTGCTGATCACATTAATGAGGTCAATTCGATCTTGTCGAGGTTGTCATCAGTAGGCATGAAGTTCGATGATGACACTTAGGCTTTGATTCTATTATCTTCCTTGCCTGATAGTTGGTCGGGATTTGTGACAACGGTTACTGAAACTGCTGGAACAGGAAACTTGAAGTTTGATCGGATACGGGATAGTGTTTTGGGTGAAGACATTCGTCGGAGGAACGCTAGTGGAGGATCTACTTCTGGGTTACTCAGTGTTAGCAGGGGAAGAGGTAATAACAGAAACAGTGGGAGTCGTGGGAAGAGCTCGTCTAAGGCTGGAAAGAATGTGGTGTGCTGGGTCTGCAAAGAAGTTGGGCATGTCAAGAGTCAATGCCCAAACAGGAAAAACAAAATTAGCGCAGTTGTTGGGAATGCATCTGATGATGATAGTGATGCATTGATACTCAGCATGGAAAGCTATGTTGACTCTTGGGTCATGGATTCTGGTGCTTCGTTTTACGCCATGCACAGCAGTGAGGCGATGGTGAATCTCAAAAAGGGAGACTTTGGAAAGGTAAAGTTGGGTAACGGGAAAATCCTTAAAGTGACAGGCATGGGAGATATTGATCTAAAAACTTCATTTGGAACTACTTGGAGCTTACAAAATGTCAGGGTGATTCCAAGACTGAAGACAAAGTTGATCTCAGTCGGACAATTGGATGAACAGGGAC